CTCAAAAAATATGATTTATGATTTTATAATAGCTCATGGATTAAATAATTCTCCTGATTTTTTTATTTATCAGAGATAGAATTAACAAGACATAATCTCTAGCAAAAAGCTTAATATTGTCAATATAGAAAAGCATTTCTAATTCTCTGAGAAATTGTTGCATATAATGCTCACTAATGATGTAGCATTTTGACACAAACCATTTTGTAATTAGTGTAAGTAATTAGCATTTAAGGATTAAATGGATTAAACTGAAGCTCTGAGAATAGCGCCAGGAACACAGTCAACATGGACGGGGGCAGCAGTTCCTGCCTTTGTGAGACCTCGGTCAGCACACGGAGCCTCTCCCTGCCCCCGACCTGCGCGCTTCTCTGGCGCGGGACTCGGCGCCCTCCGGTCCACGCCGCCTCGGCGCTCAGCCCCGTGGTCACCAAGGCTCCCTCAGGGCGGCCGGTGAGCCGCCCGGCCAGCGGGGCTTCCTCGTCCTGCAGAATGCAGCCGCCGCTGGCACGGGGCTGATGCGTCCCCACCCACCCACCGGGTCGCCCCGGCTGGCAGCTCCCAGCCCCCAGCCCGGGGTGCTGCCCTCGCCGAGTCCTTCCATGCGCCGCTGTCTGCAGTTCCCCTTTAGGGCCGGCGCTGTGGCCTGTTTTGGCTTATTGCTGATAGAAAAGCTGCTTCAGGTGAGGGCACATCCTGTGATGGAAGTTAGCACCTCCCCAGGCTTTCTTAGGGTCCCAGTTTGACCCATGAAAATACCATTCACGTGGCTGCGTCCCCGTACGGCTTCTTCTCCCAGACACGGCCTTAGTCGCCCCCACGCTCTGCCCCCAGCCTCCATGCCTCTGCTTTAGGGAGAGAAGCGGCACCCTTCAGCTGTCTCTCCCAGAAATGTGTCGACGTGGCACTTGTCTAGCCTGTGCACTTGTCTGCCCTGGGGAGATCACGTGATTGGTGTCTGCGCCACAGAACCGTGAGTTCTGCGGACAGTTCATCCTAGCGCCGGTGTCTGGGGCATCCCAGTACCGCTCAGTGAGCCGCGATACAGGGTGGACCCAGAATGGCAAAAATGCCAGCCTGAGCTTTCAAAATCCTCAGATACACTTCATAAGTAACTACTTTTTATTTTTTGAGAAGTTGATTGCTTTCGTACAATTCAAATGAAAGTGTTCTGCTGAGTGTTAGAAACTGCTTTCTGGCATTAAACTAATTGGCACGAAGTCAGTGAGACGCCGCAGCTTGCTCTGAGTGATCCTTGCTGCAGTCTCCAGCCAGGACTCGCTGCTGTGCTGTCCACTTCTCTCCCTAGTCAGAAAACACTGTCTGGATATCCAGGTTGGATGCATAGTTCTTCAGGACAAACAGAAAGGGAAACATTCTGCTAGTGCGGGAGTGTCCAGCGAAGCCACATCTCCTGGCAAGTCCGCCCCGGCTCAGGCGCCGCCAGGAAGAGCTGGCCGTGCAGGCACACGCTGGGAGCAGACACGCCTGTTCGCAGGTGCTGGCTTCATGCCATCGCAGCTGCACATGGATGCTTGGGATTCAGAGAGCGAGATTCTACTTGTGACTCTCGAAAGGCTTTTGCTTTGCCTTCCCGTCCACGGTCCGCCGTGGCGTTAGTTCACTCTTTAGAGTGGCAGCTGTGACCCCTGGCACCAGCAGAGAAGGCCGGCCCGGCCCCAGCCCGGGGCTCCACAGTGCCGCTGCTGACTTCCGGGGCCTCTGGAGTCTGAATCGGCCACTTGCTCGTCATTCTTTTCACTCAACCAGCTCCTCTGGTCTGGAGACAAGTTGAAGGTCAGTCTCCGTGACTCCCCAGCAAAGAACCGTCTTTCGCTTGCTGAGTCGTTGATACTGAACACATACTGCATGCCAGACATGGGTGCTAAAGTGGCACGTGCCCTGACCCCGCAGGCATGAGAGAGTGGGGGGCAGCGGTGGCAGAGGGTGGGTGGGGCACACACGTGGGTCGGGCCGCGCTGGGACGGCAGGGCCTGCCGCCCCTGGGCTCAGCTGGCAGCCCTGCCACTCACCTGCTCGTGACCCCGGCCAGTCGTGGATGACATGAGTGAAATAACCCAGGTGGTAAGCACTGGAATTTTAGTGTAAACAATTTACTGAAGCTCTTTAAGGCTCCATTTTCTTTTCTGTAAAATAGACTTACTGACACGACTGCGTAATTGGATTTCTGTGTACCACACACTTAGGGTCAGTCCTGTGACTCGCCTGGCCGTGCTGCGCTGGGTGGCCACCCTGTCTCGGCCGCCAGGAGCGGGGAGGCGGCGCCACAGCAGAGTTCACTTCAGACACAAGCGCTTGGTTTTCTTTGAAGTGTTCACTTTACTCCCCTAAACAATGTTTTCATGGTTTTTTAATGTAGAGCATTCACGTCTGTGTATTAGCTGTCGCACATAATAAGCTAAGGATGCTTTCTTTGAGTAATTGATGGCTAAGTAAAAAAGACAGGTAAGTCACAGCGTATCTGCTGAAGAACTAACCCTGTGTAACAGTTACAAAAGGAGTAGGAAAGTGAATTCCCCTCATTTTAAATGACTTCCTCTTAAAGGTAAAATGTGTTGGGCTTAAGTAATACTTAGCCTTGAATGAAAATACTGCCATAGAATATTTTGAAGATTTTGCACACATCATAATATAAGTGAAAGGTTAGGTTTCTGTACTACTTGTGAAATGGCTTAATACTTACACTGTGATTTAGTTTCAAATGTACTATATAAAGCAACTACACGCACAAAAACATCTTTAAGCCAAAAAAGAAATAAAATGAAACATTACCCAAAAAGTTCAGATAATAAAATCAGGAGAAAAAGAATGAGAAAAGGACAGATGAGTCAAAAAGAAAACAAATGCTAATTTTGAAATGACTTATTTCAATAACTATATTAAGTATAAATGGTCTAAACTGAATTAAAAAGCAGAGATCAGATTGCATTAAAAAAGCAAAATGTAACTGCATGATACATATAAGAAATCCACTTTAACTAAAAAAGATACAAGTGGGTTAAAAAACTTCTAACGTGGAAAATGGTGGCTTTTCCCCAGAATTTGGTCAATCTCAAAATTACAGATACCACCAAAGAGGACCAGAGTTAAGAAATATGTAAGACTTTGAAAAGTACATCTGTAAAGCAGTCTTGTAAATTAAAAGCAGAAATCAAGAAACTTAGCAATAAGTCATTTTGAAGAAAGACACAGGCTCTAAACAACATACAGAGTACAGACAAGTACTTAGTGGACAGTACTCACAGATGAGGCCACCGGAGTGGCCAACAGCAAACTTGAAGCAAACAGTACCTTATGTTTGGCCACAGAAAAAAATGCAAAAGATACAGTTTGGCATGTCGTTTTTTCTTCTCTGCATGTGAGCCAGAATTTGGCAGTTAGTCATACTACATGGTATTTTAAACTGGATATCAATTTTCCAGAATTAAGTTAATTTTATCAAAATGAATATAGTTCGAGTTTAGTTACCATAATCAGAACTTGCAGTTTTCCAAAATAACGCACCATAAAAATCGTGTGTAAGCACATTTATAGAACCTGAAATATATTTTCCTATGTTACTTACACACAGTGAACAGTCAGTAAAATCTCTGTGATGCAGTAGCAGCTCAGCTCTGAGCAAGACACAGCCTCAGTCAGACCTGCCTCGCTCCTCCCTGTCTGGGAGCTGAACTTCCCTCCGACGCTTGAAAGTGGGGTGTTCCCCATCTGCCTCACTGAAACAGCTCATCCTTTGTAGTAGCTTTTCATAGCTGCTCTTCGTAATTTCCTTTTCAAACGTAAAATAGAAAAACTGGAGATGTCGAGGTACAGAACTCGTACTTTGGAGGTCTGCCTCCGCGGTCGGGCATTTGGCTGCAGAACTCGTGAGTTCCAGTCCTTCCTCTGGGCCTCTCCAGTTCGCCCAGCAGACACTTGCGAACACCGGCAAGGTGCTGGGCACCTCACCGGACGGTCAGTACCCTCCTTGGACTGTCTCTAGGTCTTGACTTCTAGGTGGTAGGTGTTCCGATTTCTATTTTTAGCGTGAAGCTGAGGTTCAAAACGATTAAGTAAGTGACAGCAGAGGATGGATCCACATCTGCCTGGACCCTAGGACTCCACTGTCGGCGCGCGTGGGTGCTGACTCCGCACAACAACCCCTCACCCCCTTGTTTCCTGAAAGACAGCCCTGCGGCCCACGCTGCACTGTTCCCTGTGTACCGCCTTCCCTAGGACTCCACGTGGGCGGGGCTCAGACTCAGTCCTTCAGGTAAATGTGGCGCCCCGGAGCCCCTCCCAGCTCTGCGCCTGCGCCCTCCCTCCTGGTGGCCTGCTCCACGTGGTTAGGGTCCGTCTGGCTTAGTGCTGTTGCCCGCCCTTGTTCCGTATTGCACGTCAGTGAAAAGTCCAGTCTATCTTCGTCCTTCTGAATTATTTCACTTTACATCATCCCTTCAAGTCCATCCATACTGTTAGAGTAACTGTAGCTACATTTTCCGTGCCGAGCAGTATCCCACTGTGTATGTGGGGCCACATCTTTACCTTAACTCGCGTCAGGGGGCAGTTCAGCAGCACCACGCTGAGCAGGGGAGTGGATGTATTCCTCCAGGTCAGTGCTTGTGCTTTCTGTGGTAGCTACCCAGGAGTGGAGTTGCTGGGCCATGGCGTGATATCCTGAGCAGCCTCCCTGCCGTCTCCCACAGGGTTGGCAGTCTGTATTCCCTCCCTTTGCTGCCTCTGGGCCCTTCGCACTGGCGTCCGCGGGAGCGCATGGTGGTCTGGGGCTGCCTCCCTGTGAGAGCCACGCGCCTCTCAGGTACGCCTGGTGGCGGTCTGTGTCCTTTCCACAGACATTGTCGCTCTGCTGCCCGCATTTCTTTGAGTTGCTTCTTTATTGGGTTGACTGACGTACACATGTAGGTGAGTTTCTAGATCTTGGATAGTTTGCATTCTTCCTGTAGAGAACCCACAAAATGGCTTTGCTTGTTTTCATGCAGGTATATGGCCATTATTGACCCCTTGAAGCCCAGACTGTCTGCCACCGCCACCAAACTGGTCATCGCAAGCATCTGGGTCCTGGCGTTCCTGCTGGCCTTCCCTCAGTGTCTGTACTCCAAAACCAAAGTCATGCCGGGCCGCACGCTCTGCTACGTGCAGTGGCCAGAAGGTCCCAAACAACATTTCACGTAAGTTAATTCTCTGTTGTGATTTACAGTTTCATTCATATGCTTATGGTACTGTGGGCTGTAGCTGGCAAATGCGAAACATTTCCCTCCCGGGCTCTCACTTGCCTGGAAAGGAAACACGTTGTGTAAAACGCCTACGTGTGCTCCGGTCAGTCAGGCAGCTCAGGTCACCAGGGCCGAGCTGGGGAACCTCCCCCACCTGGCGTCCCGGGGAGGTGGTGGAGCGCTGGAGGCACCGCGGGGCGCGCAGGGAGGCGGGCTGCTGGCCGGAGAGTGGGCAGAGGTCTCGGGTGGGTCCCTCTTGCGGGAGACTTTGGGCGGCAGCGGGGAGCCTGGCTCCTGTGCCGTCTCAGCGTCCCAGAGACGTACTCTGTCGGGAAGGAAACAAGGACGCTCCGTGGGGGGAGTCAGCGTTTCCTGTTCTGGAACCCCCCTTATGAAAAGCAGAAAGGGAATACAGAAACAGGTAATTGGGTGAAATTTATTTTCTACTATTGGCATTTAAATTTTTATTTCAAGAAAATAAAAACCTCGTGACCTATTTTTCCCTCTAAAAATAACAAATCACATGAACGTCATTATCTTGTATGGCAGCTGTTCTGTGTAGCTCAATTCTACCCAGATTCCAGAAATTTGAAGAAAAATGTTATTCTCTCAGAAATACACCAGGCAGCATTACTACACTGAGGACTGTGGTCTCCCCGTCACCTTGGGGAGTCTTAGTCACAAAATGAAATCATTACAACAGTAGTTCGCACTGATGAATCATCCCCCTGTCTTCACGTGGGGGCTCAGTCGGGGAGCCGGAAACCGAAGACAGCAGGGAGACTCCGGGCCACCGCAGTGACCCCACTGGGGGACGTGGGCCCCCCGGCCCTCCCTAGTGGAGAGCAATGGCTAAACTGGGTAGCTGCATCCGAGCGTCTGTGACGGGCCCGCGCGTCTCTGCCTGGCCGCCCACGTCACCGCACGCTCCCTTGTGGGTCCAGCATGGCTCGCAGCATCTGCTCACCTTTTTCTTTTCACTTGGAGGAAACCAGTTGATGTGAAGTAGGTCAGTGTTCAGGGACAGACAGGCCCACGTGGGCGGGAGCCCCTGTCAGGTGTTGAGGGCGCTCTGTCCCTTTCCTGACACCTCAGGTTAGCTAGGAACTGGCTGAGCCGAGCTGAGGCCTGAGTCCCGAGCCAGCCGGGGCCTCAAGCCCTCGACAACAGTGAGGCGTGTGCGGGTGGTGAAGTGAGGCCTGAGAGAAGCCATGGCCGTAATTGGGCACCTGAGCTGTGAGTGGAAACGCGACTCCGTGTTCGTCCCCACACACCCTTCAGCCTGGTCTTCCTCCCTGCAGCTACCACATTATTGTCATCGTCCTGGTCTACTGCTTTCCCCTGCTCGTCATGGGCGTCACCTACACCATCGTGGGAATCACTCTGTGGGGAGGAGAGGTCCCAGGGGACACCTGTGACAAGTACCACGAGCAGCTCAAGGCAAAAAGAAAGGTACTGTCAGCGTGTCCGCGCATATGGTGGCCCCGCAGATGGGGCGAGCAGAGGGTGGCAACAACACATTCATTGTGACTGGCAGCTCAAGCCCCACTGTCCTTTTTCTGTGTCTTTCTAGCACCTTTTAATTTGATGCTTCTGTCTTGTCGCCTGTTGTCCACATGCTGTGTCGCCGCTGCCTCCTGCGCAGGCTTCATCTCCTGCTGCAGTGCATCCGGCCACACACCTACCGGGGCGTGGGGGGTGAAGCATGGGGTGCCCTGCAGCAGCTCTGGCCAGCTCCCGTTAGCTTTGTCCTTTATGGGACAGGACACCTCAGGTGTGACCATCGCCTTCCAGAAGCTGCCTTGAGGAGGGGGGGGGCTGTCCGTGTGTGCCCTGCCGCCTCTCTGCTCATCCCTGCACAACCGTCACAGTTGTGTGGTGAAGGGAGGAAGAGCCGCGCTACTGCCAGTACGACTGCTGGCTTGACATGGAAAAGCTTGAGGTTCTGAACTGTACATTAAGCAAGAAAATACATAAAAATATTATATTGCCATTTTACTAGGATTATTGTTTGGATGTTTGTCTACAGTTGGTTGCTGTGCCACCAGGGAGGGCCAAAAACTCGGTGATTTATTTTTAATAATAGAATAGTCTGTTTTTACATCATTATGTGCCTTTTTCTGTCTCAGTTGTCATCCCGTGGGCTTCCCATCACCAAGTCACCCGTATGCCATCGCCATGGTCCAGTGCACTTCCCGCCCCTCCCCCAGTTTTTGATCCCACCCCCCACTCCACCCCCACAAAATGCCTCTGGTATATGGCTGTTCATTCTTCTTCTTATTATTATTATTTCTCCCCTGGTCCTTTATACTCCTGTGAGAGAAACCATCGGTATTTTTCCCTTTCTTTCTGGCTTATCTCACTAAGCACGATCTTTTCCAGCTCCATCCATGTTGCTGCAAAAGGCATGTGTTTCTTTTTTTTTTTGGTTGCTGAGTAAGATTCCATTGAGTATAAGTACCACATCTTTTAATCCAGTCATCTACATAAAAACTCGGTAATTTTAACCCCACTTGTCTGTTAATACTTAGCAATGCTCAGTCAGGGTTTTTAAATCAAACGTAGAAAAATGGATTCTATTCTGATACCGATAAGCTTTTCCTCTTGTTTTTTGACAAATGGTGATAGGTGAGACTTGCATTTGGCTAACATTTATCGTGGTCCTGTGATTAGAAATACATATAACGTAATCTTTTCAGTGTGAATATACCAATACTTTACGTTAAAAATGAGCCGCACCGCTAACCCGTGCCTTCGCGCTGAGAGGAAGGGAGGCGGGAGCGCCGCGCGTGGTCCTCTCCCTCTGCAGCCCAGCGGTGCCTCCTGCTGTCTGGCTCTCACACGGGTCCTGTTGGGGGGCGGGGCGGTCGCTTGTGGGTGTCACCACATTGAGCAGCTGACGTGATGGCCGCGTGCCGCTGGCTGCACTTGGCTTCCGGTCTCGTATTTCTGACTGGCTGAGGCATCAGCCCGGTTCTTTGCAGAAATGTGCTCCGTGTCCGCTTCCAGGCAAATGAAAATAAGTCCAGTAACTGTAGATTATAGTTCCGTTGTCCTCATATGTACTAACCTTGTAGTATGAGATGAGAATCAACATTTATTTTGGCAGTGAGTCCAGGGAATAAAAAGCTAGAGGGTTCGCTCGCCCTTGCGCCACAGAGCCGAGGGGAGGAAGGCAGACGCATTCCCTTGTACTTTGAAATTAAAGAGTAAGTAAACCAATCAGCGCAGACGGAGAGCATGACCTGCGGGGACGGGTCAGAAGAGCAAGGCCTCTGAAAGCCTGGGGCGTGTCTCTCTGCCTCTCTGTTCTGGGCTAAACGACACAAGACGACTTTGCGGCCACGAGTGTCCTCTGTGCTGGCCATGGCCTCGGAGTCGCCACAGTCGCTTACCCGTGTGCGTGTCCGTGGCAAAGTCCATATTTCAAAATAGAGCTTGATCTTCCGATGCTTCTTTTTACGTCAGATGTAAACATGCTGACCTGGAGCATCGTTACCCCTAGTGATCGTGCGGGTCAGAGACAAAATCCCATCCCAGGCGAGGCCCTGATCACCCGCTGCCGCCTCTGATGCTGTGATGGGCACTGGAGAGGACACAGTACTGGCTGTCCTGGGGCAGGTTCCTCAGACTACTGAGGAGAAGCGCTCCGTGGGTGAGGCCGAGCCAGCGCTACAGTGACGGGCGGCCCTCACGCCACGGGGCAGTGAGAATGGCTGTGGCCTGGGTCCCCAGCGCCACTAGCTTGGCCAGCGGGTGCTCAGGGGCTCAGCTTTGCGTCTCCTACCTGCCTAGCAGTTGTGTCCAGTGTTGGGTCTGTGGTGACGGTGAGCAGTAGCAGTGTGATGCGTGTCTGAGTTACAGATCCTGCCCTTGCAGCCGCCAGATGCAGGAACCCTGACAACCTCACTGGCGGGGCTCCAGCCACTGGGACACACAGTACGACAAAGTCTCAACTGTCACAAAACCTCCAGGTGATTTAGAATCGACGCTCCCCACCGCCAGTCTCCTTACGTCCTGGCTGAGTGCGTACAGTCTGAAAGCAATACCAGTGTTTCTCGCTTTGGAAACTCCCCGTCAGGGCCTCCTCTCTTGGTGACCTGCGTGTCTCTCATGCATGGTTTCTAGATTCTGGGCAGTGACAAAAAGGGCCACAGCAGAAGTGTGAGTGCTTTTTTTTGGAATAACGTGAGCACATAAATGGCCGCAGGCTAGTGATGACTGACTGGGGAAGGACCAGAATCAACAGGTAAGTAAGTTGGGCAGAAACCTAGCTAACTCTTGGCATGGGCAGTGGTCACAGTTTTATCTAGACGAAAAATAAGTGGTGCTAGAGAGAATGAAAGCGATGAGAATAGACATATCTAACTTCAGTTCAAACATTATTCATTAAAGTTTCCTCTTGTGGAAATACTCAAGACGAAGCTTATCTGACCTGAAGAAATGTATTGCTGGGTTTTGATAGCCGTTAAATTAGATAAAGACAAAAAGGACCACTTGTACGTGGTATTAATGGCAGTTGAATGTGGGCGCCCGGGGCTGCTGACAGGACTGGTGTCCGTTGGGCTCTGAGGGCACCTGGGTCTGCATGGACCAGGGTGCTGGACTGGGAGGCAGCGTTAGCATCTACGCATTGTACTGGCCCTGCGTTTGACCGTGAGTCGTGGTTTGCAAATAACTTTCTCACAAAAAGGGATTTTTTTCTTACTGTATAAAAAAAGAAAATGACTGTCAAGTGTACAAAATTATTAAGCAACGGAACTTGGACCTAGCTCCTGGCCAGAGGTTCTTAGGGTTGCATTGTTCCAGTAAACAGTAATAGCTCAGTCACATTGCAAAATGCCGCCTGGTGTCTGAGTGCCGCCCGGGTCCCCAAGGCACTGCCCCACACAGGTCACCGCCGAGCCGCACAGCGCCTTCCCTGTGCCCCTCCATACAGCAGACCAGGCAGGTCAAAACTGCCATGACGGTGCTGTCCAGCCGGCGGGAGTCTCCGCCGCGGTCGCGGGTCTGGCAGCTGTCCAGCCGAGTCGCACTAGCTACCACGCTTGAAGTAGTCACTGTATACCTGAAGCGGCCGACGACAGGGCAGAGACATTCAGGCTTCACTCTCATTCTTTGTGATAACTGGAATTGAAGAGAGTTAGTGGCGCGACCATTAAGCTTTTACAAAAATTAACATATATTTATCTTACATTTTATGTATGGGATTTGAGTTTTTAAATTTTTCCCTTTATTCCTTTGTGATTGGATTTTTTTTTAAATCAAGGTAGCCTTGGTTTATATTGTTGTGTGTTAGGGATAGGATCTGCCTTTTCAAGTGTTTGCACACCCACCGTCAAATCCACCCATGGCTTGCTGTGCTCCCTCACCACTTTGTGCTTGTCCTGCCTTCTCCCCTCCGGTAGCCTCCGTTTAACAGTCAGATTTCTAAAGTGTGTTAGTTTTTGAGTTGGTCTCTGAGGTTTCTCTGCATTCCATCTGGTATTTCTTTCTCCTATCATATTTCACTTATCATAATCCTCCCCGGCTCCATCCATGTTGCCGAAAATGACATGAGTTTATCTTTTTGGTTGCTGAGTAGTATTCCAGTGTGTACAGATTGTCTTCTGATCCACTCATCTGCCTTTGGGCACTTTGTCTCTGACCTGGTATTGGACATACTGCTGTAGGGAACATAGGATTGCATGTTTCCCTTTGAATTCATGCTTTTGCATTCTTCACGTAGACACCTAACCGTGGAACAGCTGCATCATACGGTGGATCCATTTTCTTTTTGGACCCCTCCATACTGTTCTCAGTGGGGTCTGGGCCGGTCTGCATTCCCACCAGCAGTGTCGGAAGGTCCTTTGTCTCCCTCCCCTCCCAGCACTGCTTTTGCTCTTTCTGATGTAGCCCATGTCAAGGTGTGAAACGCTGTCTCCTTGTGGTTTTGACTTGCATTTCCCTGACAATACATGAACATTTTTTCCATGTTCATCACACCACTTGCATGCTGTCTCTGGAGAAGGGCCTACTAAGCTCTCTGCCCATTTTTTGTTCTTTTTGTTTCTCATGTGTGTCATGAACATTTCCGCGCATTGCCTCTCATTATTGCTTATCTTTGCTAAGTTTCTTAAGCCATAAGTGGACTTCCTCTGCAAGGAAAGAGCCACGGTGACTTCCTTGAATTTCTGATGCCACGCCTACTACACACACACACTACCCACAGACGGCCCACACGTGCACCTGCCATGTCGGTGGGAAACCACGAGCCGTGACATCACCTGATCTTGTTTGATTCCAGGATAGTGAGTGACTGGGCCTCTGACTCGATCTCTCACTCTGTTCTCATTTATGACACTGAATTACTGCCTCAATTTTTTTTTTTTGATGAGGGTTAATGAAGATAATGTACATGTTAAAGTGTCAAGGACTTAATAGTCATAAATGTGCAATTACAATCTGCATTC